TTTGCAATAAAATTTTTTTTTTAATTTTAAACAAAAATAAAAGATCTATCTCTCCTCTCTCCATAACTCTTTCAAATAAAAATCTTTAAAATCTTTCATTCTGCTTTATGAATAAATTGAGTGTGCTATGAATCAAACTACTTAATACTATATTGCCCTTGATACCAAAAATAGTCTCATACTATGTATTCCTAATCACGTCTTATTTTACAAAATATTTGATTTTAATAAGGAATCAATTTTTCCTGTATGTAGTCTTCCTAAAACATAGTTGATAAACTCCCACCCCCAGTTTCCAATTCAGAATAATTTAGCACGTTTCAATTAAACCAGAACAGAGAGCTGAAATCGGTGGACATAGAATGAGGTGGGTGACAAGGCCAATAGAACAAATAGAAAAGCAAATATGAATCAAGGTCCTTTGCTAGAACCTCAGAAAACTAAGTAATTTACAAAAACCAGCAGCTTAGCTACCATCTAATCAATCCTATTACAATCTCACGGATGAGAAAACCAAAGTTCAGAGAAGTTCAAGGTCAGAGAAGTCAGCAGAAGCCAGAGTGAAACCTAGCTCCTTCCCGCCCTCCTCTGCTCCGCCTGTTCCTCTCCACCAAGACAAAGACTGAAGCACTTGGATCCTGAGACAAGGTTCTGCCTCAGAACACAGACCAAAACATACTTCGACAAAAACTTACTAGCCCGTGTATCTACCGTCACTGCTTACACAGCCCTTAAAACAATCCTGAAAGCTGTTGCCATCCCAATAAACTTAGAAACAACATCTGTAATATGACTAAACCTGTTTTTTTCAACTCAATCTTTTATACAAATTCTCAGAATCTAGTATTTTTGTCCAAAATTGTGACTAGAATCTTCTATCAAGAAACCCTAGGCTCCCTCTAAAAAATATGTAATATTTTAATAAGAAAAACCATTAAAATAATAATGAAATAATCAAATGTCTGGAAAAAAAAAGTTTGAACGAGGGAGTGACAAATTTCAGCTACATGTCAAATCTAACCCACAGCCTGCTTTACAGACTCCAAAAGATAAAAATGATTTTAACAGTTTCAAACAGCTGTTGGGAAAAACACACAAATAACTCAAATCCGAAAACATACATGGCTCACCAAATTTAAAATATTTAGCACGAGAGCTTATAAAAAAGTTGCTGATCTGTCTTGTGTAGTATTTACTGAGTATTTGCAGAAAAAAAAATACTTAGAGACAAAACTTATTTTCTTCTGTTTTCGGTCTAAAGAGTACAAGTTTTATTATTCAATGACTTTGAGAATTACACCTGTATATTAAACGGAATTGAAAATTTTCATCTTTAAAGCAAATAGCACAAAATATATAGCATTCTTTTTTCTTAAGATTTATTTTTTCTTTTTATTGGAAAGTCGGATATACAGAAAGGAGATACAGAAAGATCTACCCACCAGTTTACTCTCCAAGTGGCTGCAATGGCTGGAGCTGAGCCGATCACAGGGGCCCAAGGCTTTGGGCCATCCTTGACTGCTTTCCAAGGCCACAAATAGGGAGCTGGACCAGAAGCAGAGCAGCCAGGACACAAACCAGCACCCATGTGGGATCCCAGTAATTTGCAAGGCAAGGATTTAGCTACAGAGCCATTGCGCCAGGCCCAAAATTCATAACATTCTTAGTTAGTCTTCTTCCTTAGATACAACTTCCATTAGGCCATTTCCCATTCAACCCCTCACCCAACAGACTAAAACATCCTTTTACACACTTAACAGCTGTGTGGCAATTCTCCAGGAACTGCCCTCAAGATACCCAACTACACATAAAGAAGGTTCAAAATTTGTTTTAATTAAAGACATATTTTTTAAGATAGATTTACAGAAAGAAGGGACAGAGATGTTCATCTGGTGGTTTATCCCCCAAATGGCTGCAACATCCAGAACTGAGCCAATCAAAAGCCAGGAGCTTCTTCTGGGTCTCCCACACGGGTGCAGAAGCCCACTGACATCAGCCATCCCCTGCTGCTTTCCAAGGTCCTAAGCAGGGAGCTGGATGGAAGCAGATCAGACAGAACAATGAACCAGAGCCCATACAGGATGCCAGTACCACAGGTGGTTGATTAGCCTTCCCTACCACAGCACCAGCCCAAGAGAGCTCCAACTAAGGACTGTTATTTTGGTCTATCAACCAATCTCTCTCACCTCTGCTTTTTAACTACCTTATCAGAATAATTTATAAAGACAGTCCTGTCTAGGCCATTATCAACTTTTGATACCAAGAAAAAAAAAAATCTGTTGTTATTAACTAAATCAATCCATACCCTTGTCATCTAAGCTGGCTTTACTCACCCTTCTTCTTGAGCTTATTTGCCTTTCCGAACCAACAATTTCAGAATCCAAAGCAGAAACCTGAGTGACTCTTTTTCCGTCATTCTTCATCCCCCATCTCTCCTACTTTCCCTCACCGTTGAGTAAAAATGCCCCTCCCCTTTCAGAACACTAATGTATTAATTTTTCATCTACATTTGCTCTTTCTTTTTTCACTAAACTTCACCATATCGTACTTTTTTAACTTAGAGAAAAATACATTAAGCAGTAAAATATAAACACATCTATGGATACATGTAGCATAGCACAGTGATTGCCTGCCAGTAGCATCAGCTTCCCTCATGGGAGCTAGTAAGTGGCCTAGCTACTTCACTTCTGAAACAGCTCCCTACTGAGAAAACAGCAAAGAATGGCTGAAGCCCAAGGGCCCATGCACTGAAATGGGAAACCCAGAAGATGCTCCTGGCTCCTGATCACCTCAACCCTGGCCATTGCAGCATTTAGGGAGTGAACCAATAGATGGAAGATTTCTGTATCTTTGTCTCTGCTTCTCTCTGTAAATCTGCCTTTCAAATAAAAATAAACAAATCTTTTAAAAATGTCTGGGTATGTGAAGAAATCTTTATAAAGGCAAACTCTTATATTAAATAATGCTAAATAAGAATTCCCTTAACCAGTGTGTTAAACTTTCAAAGAGCCAAAATACAAGGCCTACCACATGATTTAATTATTTGGAATATTTTCTTACCTGATTACATAAATTTGCTAAACTTCAGGCTCTCTAAAATGGTTCAAATACTTGTTTTCAAAAAAATCCTAACTCTCAAGATAGACCAAACACAGCTACATACGAATTTAACAATCCTATTTATTCCAGAAGAACTCCAATCACTCAGGAAGGAAGGAAGGAAGGAAGCAAGGAAGGAAGGAAGGCAGGCAGGCAGGCAAGCAGGCAGGCAAGCAAGCTACCAAGTTTACTCAAATGACAAGAGTGCTAAACTAGAAAACCTCAAAAATCTTTTCAAAAAGATGTGGGCAGTGTCAGGGCTGGTATTAAGGCGCGGATGGTAGAGCCTTAGTTCGCGATGCCAGCATCCTGTCTCAGAAGCCAGTTTCTATCCCATATGCTCTGCTTCAAACCCAGCTTCCAGTGAACAAGCCTGCGAGGGCAGCAGACGACAGCTCCATGCCACTCATAGGAGAAGCTAGACTGGAGTCCGGGGCGCCTGGCTGGCCTGGCCCTGTTCTGGCTGCTGTAGCCATGTAGCAAAAGAATCAGCAGACGACGAGGCGTTGAATCACCCACCCCTCCCCACTAGCCTCTTTCTTTTCACTGACTTTAAAATAAATACTGTAAATATCATTCTAATGTTTTTAACATTGCCTTTTTCAGTTGAATTAGTTTTTCACTGAAGTATCACTTAAGATGGTTGCAAAATATAAGGATGATCATGCCACTATTAAGAATGTTTATGGAGGCCTGCTGCAGTAACCTGGCAGCTCAAGTCCTCACCTTGAACGTGCCAGGATCCCATATGGGCACCGGTTCATGTCCCAGCAGCTCTGCTTCCCATCCAGCTCCCTGCTGGTGGCCTGGGAAAACAGTTGAGGATGGCCCAAAGCCTTGGGACCCTGCACCCACTTAGGAGACCTGGAAGAAGCTCCTGGCTCTTGGCTTCAAACTGGCTTAGCTCCAGCCGTTGTGGCTACTTGGGGAGTGAATCAGCAGATGGAAGATCTTCCTCTCTGTCTCTCCTCCTCTCTGTGTATCTGACTTTGCAATTAAAAAAAAAAAAAGTAAATCTTAAAAAAAAAAGAGCATTTATGAAGAATTTAAAGTATAATGAAAACATGACTGCATTAACACAAAGTTGAAAGAGCAGGACCCAAAATTCTTTATCAACTATAATCACAGGTATACTTTAAAAACTGTTTACAGAAAAAACATGACAAGGAAATATGCCAGGGTATTAAGAGGGGAACGCTTTGGGCAGCAGAGAAAAGGTTTGTCTGTCTTCTTTATTGTCACTAGCATGACTTTAAACTTCCATCCTCTGCCCTCTCTCCCCAACAGGCCACAATGACCAGAAGCCATCCTTCATTGCTCTCCTCGGACATCAGCAAGGAGACGGAATACAGAGCAAAGCAGCTGGGACTCAAACCAGGGCCCATGAGATGCCAGCACTGCAGACAGAGGATCAGCCTCCCACGCCACTGCACTGGTCCCATGACCATGACTTTCCTAAGGGAGCAAACTTAACAATTACTTTAAAAGTTTTGTGTAAGGAAATTTTATTAACATCTGCTGACAACTTAGCCTTTTAAATATTTCAAGATAGTCTTTTCCAGTGAATATAAACCTCATCAGTAGAAACAAAAATTAAAACTACAAAACTCATACTTTTAAAACAATAAAGGTATGTGAAATTTGGCAAAATTGGAATAGGGAAAATACTCATTGCAGAGCGGACGGCGTTACCTTGACAACTGATTTTTCTTATAAAATCTATTTTCCTGCCAAAATCACAAAGAAAACCATCCCACAAGATGACAGACTCAAGAAGCAAGCGAACACTGGTGTTATCTTCCAAAGCACACGTGCATGATAAAGACAGACAGCATCATTAACAGGCTGTCTGCAGTGTTAAGTCCTCCTCAGGAGCAAACAGGAAGCCAGGGTGGTCCCACCTGGGAAATATGATTGATTGAAGATTCCATCCTTCGCAGCTGGGAGGCCTGGATATCCAGCATCTGCAGCACATTGTTGGCCAAAGTGTTGATCAGATAGGCAACGCTTGCTAAGGACTGGGTGGTGTAGGCTTTGGTTTCTTCTAGAGCACGCTGCTTATCTGCGGACTACAGGAAAAAAAGAAACCAATCATCATTAAGTCAAAGATAAAACTACAAAACTACAAAACTAGTCCACAAAAGTATTCATACAAAATCATTTCACTGAACCTACACATACAAAAATAGTTCAAAAATGAATGATCAGCATCACATTAACCCAAAACCCACCGATTAACTGAATCCAATAAGCTTTTTTTAAAAAAGCTTTTAAAGCTTTTACTTTACTGGAAAGGCAAACATACAAAGAGGAAGCAAGACAGAAAAGAGCTTCCGTATGCTGATGCACTTCTCAAGTAGCTGCAATGGCTGGAGCTGAACCAATCTGAAACCAGGAGACAGGAACCTCTTCCAGGTCTTCCATGATGGGTACAGAGTCCCAAGGCTTTCGGCCGTCCTCTATTGCTTTCCCAGGCCACAAGCAAGGAACAGGATGGGACAAGAACCAGCGACCATACGTGATCCCGGAGTATGCAAGGGTAGGACTTTAGCCACTGGGCTATCACGCCAAGCCCCGTAGAATAAGCTTTTTGCTGAACAGACACATCTTTGTACATATACACATAACTCTGAAGTTGTTATTTCAAAAATGAGACAATGGATTTTTTTTTTAAACAAAGAACTATGTATTCCTCATCCTACATCCCCTATTACAAAACCTCTTATTTGAACATTTGTCACAACTTTTGAACCACAATCAGTTTCCCCTGATTTCTTTAATCCAAACTTTTATCCCTCCCAACATTTGGTAATCAACACTCTGTATTCAGATTGTACATACAGGGGGCCCAGAGCAGTGGCCTAGCAGCTAAAGTACTCGACTTGGATGCGCCACATCCTATGTAGGCGCCAGTTCCAATCCTGGCAGCCCCACTTCCTATCCAGCTCCCTGCTTGTGGCCTGGGAAAGCAGTTGAGACTGCCCAAAGCCTTGGGACCCTGCACCCACGTGGGAGACCCAGAAGAGGTTCATGGCTCCTAGCTTTGGATTGGCTCAGCACCGGCTGTTGGGATCACTTGGGGAGTGAATCATCGGATGGAAGATCTTCCTGTCTCTCCACCTCTCTGTATATCTGATTTTTCAATAAAAATAAATCTTTAAAAAAAAAGACTGCACATATAATAGAGGAAAATAAGTGCTTTGTCTGCCTGTAATTGATGTATTTTGATTAACATAATATCCTCCAGTCCTGTTTTTTCTTCAATATTTATTTTAGGTGAAAGAATTACAGAGGGATCTTTCATCCACTGGTTCATTCCCCAAAAGGTCACACATGTCCAGACCTGGGGCCAGGAGCACCTCTGGGTCTCTCACATGGGTACAGGGAACCAAGGGCATGGGCCATCCTCCACTACCTTTGTAACCATCGGGAAGGAGCTGGATCAGAAGTAGGGCAGCCAGGACTCAGACCAGCGTACATTTGGGATGCAGGCACTGCAATCGTAGGATCAGCAGGCAGTGCCACTGCATCGGTTCAAGTCTCATATATTTTACAGCAAATAGTAGCATTTCATTTTTTTAATGGTAAAATATTTTCTCTTCTGTAGAGATGATTTATTGGAAAGAGAGAGATTCCATCTTCTGGTTCATTCCTCAAAATGCCTGCAGCAGCCAGCATGGGGCCAGGTGCGGGAGTCCAGAACTCCAACTGGGTCTCCCATGTGAGCAGCAGAGACCCAAGTCCAGAGATCATCACCTACTCCGTCCCAGGACCACCAGAAGGAAGCTGAATCAGAAGCAAAGCAGCTCATCCCAGGCAGTGGGCTTAATGCGCTGCACCACAAACAACATCCGCCTGGCAGTGGGTATTTTGATCAATAGCAGCCGTGTGTCCCAAGGTCACTGGAAAGGCAGTACACTGAAGTCTGGTGTACTCGTTTCTACTTCCCTTAATTCTTCCTTTAACATGTAAAATGTGGCTAAAATTTCTGATTAATGTATTAATACAGTAATGATAAAAATGGCACAACAAAAAAATCCTTTCTCATCAAGAATTTTAAGTGTAATAACTCTATAGTACATAAACTGCCAAGAAACTACACTCCCAAATAAACTCCCACTTGAAACTACAAAAACTGCATAGCAGAAAGTGGCTAATTTATTGTGTCAAAGTCTTAGCAGCAAAGCAATGGTAATTAAACAGTCTGTGCTGCTGTCAAACATCATCTCGCCCAAGTTCCAGCTCAACTGAAAGCATAAGCGCCTCTGAACCAGAAACCATTTATGTTCATATCAGCACAGCCCTTTACTGTAACATGTCGATTCAGACAGGAGTCCGTTACTGTGTTTCCTCTATTAGGAAGTAAATAAGAATTCAAATATGACCACTTTGAGAAGTTGTGACCATCAAAATACAGTCATGAAATAAAGCCATTTTCTAAAAGCATAAACCAAAGCAGCTCAGAGGAGTCACAAAGAGCAAGACACCAACACAGACTGCCTGGCTGCCTGGCTGGCTGGCTGGCTGAGTCTCTTGGTTCACTCCCTAGACACCTGCCCCAGGCCAGGGCCAGGCCGACTGAAGCTTCAAGAGCTGAGAATCCAAACCAAGCCTCTCATGTTGGTGGCAGGAACCCACCAGATGAGCTATCATCTGCTGCCATCCTGGGTCTGCAATACAAGATGGAGTCAGGAACAGAAGCTGCGAATCAAACCCAGGTATTTCAACATGGGACACAGCGCTGGATACCCAGTAGCCTAAAATTCCCAATCTCATCTCATCTCATCAACAGAACATAGAAACCCAAATCAATACACCTCAATGTCTTTCTCCCAGGTGAGGAAAGTGAAGGTATCAAACTTTCTGAAAGAAATAGGTAACAATCAAGTAATACCATTTTAATTTGAGGGGTGTTAAAAATCACTCTCCGCATTTTTCTTTTCAATTTTTAATTAATTTGTTTTTATCATAGGTTGAAACAAGAGTTGACACCAAACTTGAAAATACTTTTAGGAACCTGCTGGGATTACATATATCTACTTTCCAAAGTTGTAACTGCTTTAAATTTTTAAGATATTCATGGCTAAATATGCTATAAATTATAATAATTTATCATTAAATATACATTAAGAATTGTACTTATCAATTTTACTTATAAAAATTAAACTTTTAACATTTTAAATAAATATTCTCTAGTTAAAAGATAACAAAATTTCCACTCGTCCACTTGTTCAAATTTTTCACATTAGGAAACCCTAGGCAAATGATTCAGAAAATTGCATGGATTTCCCAACTTTAATATAGGGTGGAATCAATTTAAGAACAGTAATGGGGTGGGTCTGGCACAGTAGCCTAGTGGCTAAAGTCATCGCCTTACATGCACCAGGATCATATATAGGTGCCAATTCAAGTCCCGGCTGCTCCACTTCCCTTCTAGCTCTCTGCTTGTGGCCTGGAAAAACAGTGGAGGATGGTCCAAATCCTTAGGACCCTGCACCCACATGGAGATCCCGAGGCAGTTCCTGGCTCCAGATCAGCTTAGCTCTGGCCGTTGTGACCACTAGGGAAAGTGACAGCAGACAGAAAATCTCTGTCTCTCTTCTCTATAAATCTGCCTTTTCAATAAAATAATAATAATAATAATAAACAAATCTTAAAACAAAAAGAGTAACTATGGGGGGATCAGCGCTGTGGTCCATCTGGTTAGGTCGCTACCAGCAATGCTGGCATCCTGTACAGGCACCAGCTTGAGTCCGTCTGCTCCACTTCCGATCAGGCTCCTTGCTAACACCTGAGAAAGCAGAAGATAGCCCAAGGACTTGGACGCCACAAACCACATGGTACATGCAGCTAAAACTTCAGGCTCCTGTTTTCAGTCCAACAAAGACCCAGCCCTGCTGCCGTGGCCATTTAAGGGGTAAGCCAGTGGATGGAAGACCATCTCTCTGTCTCTCCTTCTTTATTAATTCTATGTTTTCAAGAAAATAAATCTTAAAAGGAAAAAAAAAAAACAAGAATAGCTATGAATGATACTAAATAATTATTTCCCAAACAAGATTCATAATCTTTTTTTGTTTGTTTTGTTTGTTTTTTTTTTTAAAGATTTATTTTTATTATTATTTTTTTTTTTTTTTTACTGGAAAGGCGGATATACAGAGAGGAGAGACAGAGAAGAAGATCTTCCGTCCGATGATTCACTCCCCAAGTGAGCGCAACGGCCGATACTATGCTGATCCGAAGCCAGGAGCCTCTTCCGGGTCTCCCACGCCACGCGGGTGCAGGATCCCAAAGCTTTGGGCCGTCCTCGACTGCTTTCCCGGGCCACAGGCAGGGAGCTGGAAGGGAAGCGGGGCTGCCGGGATTAGAACCGGCGCCCATATGGGATCCCGGACGTGCAAGGCGAGGACTTAACCACTTGCGCCACCGCGCCGGGCCCAAGATTCATAATCTTTAAGAACCAGTAATCTACTTCTTTATATAAAGTTTTTTTTTCTTTTATTGAAAAGTCAGATTTACATAGAGGAAGAGAGACAAAGATCTTCCATCTGCTGGTTTACTCCCCAAGTAGCCACAATGGCCAGAGCAGATCTGAAGCCAGGAGCAGGAACATCACTTGGGTCTCCCATGCGGTGCAGGGTCCCAAGGCTTTGGGCTGCCCTCTACTGCTTTCCCAGGCCACAAGCAGGGAGCTGGATGGGAAGTGGGGCAGCCAGGACACAGACTGGCACCCATATTTGATCCTGGTGCATACAAGACCAGGACTTTAACCACAGGATACTGTATGGAGCCAAGTAATTTTCTTTATATATTTTCTATTTCTACAGTAATTACTTTTAGAGCTAAGATTACTTTAAAGGGCTATGAAAAATCTAATCAAGACAAATTAATTTGAGTGCAAAAAAATTGTTAAAACCTAGTTTCCTCATAATATACTTCTTGCATGAACATTTCTGAAGCTCTGTACTTAAAAAACTAACAGATTCCCCAAATTAGCATAAAAATTTTAAAAATGGGCTTGGCGCCATGGTCTAGTAGCTATAGTCCTTGCATGTGCCAGGATCCCATATGG